ATCTGAACTGAATGCAGATTATGATAATGAGTGCAGGTTCGAACTGCTATTGCTATCTTGATGTAAAGAGAGGTCACTGAAGCATTTTTTTTTGTGTTTATATTTAGCATTTGCTACATATGAAAAATGAATAAGAACAGAGTTGCTTAATAACCAATTATTTTGTATTGGTTGCAGTTGTATCTTTATATATCCCTATTACTATTAGTTTCTCATCAGTGAGCTATTTTATGTCTTTGTAACATTGCTGCCATCTAGTGACAAAAAGCCAACCTGGCTATTTTTTTTTCTTGACGATTGATTTCTAGGTCATTAATGATAGTACTGTGGAGCATTTCTCTTTAATTGTTAAATAGTTGTGATGAAGAACTATCCTAGTCAGTTTATGTAATGGGAAAAATGGCTAATTGAAATTAAGTTGGGATTGTGTGCCACTTAAGTGAAAGTGTACCTGTGATTAGTTGTGCTCATTGTTGTTATGTTATTCATTTTCCCCCTGAGACAAAACTACCAAGACAGCTTGCCAGATTTGGGACTTTCCCTCCTGTCTATGGTGCAATCATACATTCAGGCTCACATGTCTATGTCCAATACATGCATTAGACCTTCCCTCCCCTTCTGATTTTAACTCTGGACAAATCCTTGAAAACCAGTGTTGCTCTATCCTGCTCAAGAGCTAAAGGGACCAAATACTGACCTGAAGGATCAGGGCAAAGCCTTTGAGTGGGTGGCTAATTCCCGCTTTAGCCCTCATCAGCTGTCCTCTGGGCAGGAATGGGACCGTGAGCGATAAGACAAAGCTAGACCCATCTGGCAGAAAATATAACCCCAGTTACAAAAAGTTATGATGGTCTGCAAAACCTAAAATCTGAGACAAAAAATACAATAATATCATTTAAACCCCATATTTTATTTAAGAAAATATTTTCACATTTTTTATATTTTAATGCTTTGGTTTGCTTTATTTTGTATTTTGAATGTGTACATTTCATACGTCTGCACAAGTCTTTCTAAATGTTACAGGTTTTGGAGAAACACATGCTGCCATTTCAGCAAAACAAAGAGATAGCATACTCTGCAACACAGCACCACCGCAATGTATTAGAGAATGTAAGAAACCATTTCCAAAGTCCTGACCGGTTGCCAGTTAAAAACATTTGACATTTTATCAAATAAAAATATGGCCAGGAGGCCCTAAACCAAAGAGCTGGAATCCTATATTGAGCAAGGACAGGATAACATTTTGGCTTTTAAAACTTGATCTCCTGAGTTACAAAATGCTTTTAGGGAGTTGCTTAAAGAAGACATGAGGTAACACAGTGCTTCTGGACTCTCTTCTGTACAAAGAGAACAAATGCTATGTTCTCTTTGTACAGTTTTAATTAGATATGGGGTTTTGGATAACAGGTTTTAAATTAAAAAAGTAAAAGTAAAGTAAACATCAGATGTTTGGGGGGTTTTTTTGGCTTCTTGTCATTGATATCAGTGGATACAATCGATGACATTTCATTACTCAACAAGTGTGGACAAAACATAAACTTGAAACTTAAAAGTGTTCACAGCTAATGACTTGAGAATAACACAGGGCAGTGTATATAGTTAAGTAAGTAAAAGTAGTGTATCTTTTTCTCTTCTTTAAGAGCTTTCTTTTGAGAAATGTAGCTTTCTGATGGATTAAACAACATAATTGTGTCTTCAGGTTACCAATTTGAAATCTCTGTGTTGTGTGAGTGTTGAGTTTTGAATTTTGCCATTGCTAGAAGTGTGCAAGTAGCTTTGAAGGCTAGGCTGCTGAAAAAGACCGCTACAGTGTGTGCATCAGCTTGGTGGGCTTTGTCACTTTTAGCAATCTAAATTAAGGAGTTAATCCTACTTCCATGAGAACAGGTATTGATTTTGAAATTTGGGGAGTTTCACCTGTTTGCTCATTTTTGGGTCTTGGACCCTTTTTTGCATAGGTGTCTCCAGCATCATTGTCTTTTTAGGGTTATTATTGTGTGGTGGATACCTCTCTGTGACCCAGTATTAATGTTCTAACCTGCAGTGACCTTCCTAGAAATGTAACTACAGCTTGGTGTCAATAAAGCCAGCTTGATTATAAATGCTGGCAACAGTGTTGGACACTTGCATAGGCAATGTAGTAGGTGAAATACAAATTTGCCACAGAATTAATAAATTATCCATTACTACAACATCCCTGT